ATTTCAAAGTTATGCACTAAGACAATTTATGAAATTGGTTTCTAACATTTTTATATAGCTTGATCATATAGTGAGAACTACATATACTGTATATAAAAGGTAAACGAAATCAATGCTGTATAAAGTCCTAGGAAATAGTGCAGGAAATATTTAAGAATTCGTTTAAAAACGTTTGAAACCCACTGAGCAATTGACAGTCATTAAAGTGGCTCTGTATTATTCCCTCTGTCCCTCTATCAGGTATAAACGAAAGTTACTGGAGAGCTTTAGCGGACCTCCACAGACCGAGATGCTATCAGATCAACAACCGGCATACTGAGAACAACTTGTGGAATTTCTGGTCGTCCCTTGACTTTTGTGCCACCCTACTAACCACTATTGGTATGTGCCACCCTACTAACCACTATTGGTATGTGCCACCCTACTAACCACTATTGGTATGTGCCACCCTACTAACCACTATTGGTATGTGCCACCCTACTAACCACTATTGGTATGTGGCACCCTACTAACCACTATTGGTATGTGGCACCCTACTAACCACTATTGGTATGTGGCACCCTACTAACCACTATTGGTATGTGGCACCCTACTAACCACTATTGGTATGTGCCACCCTACTAACCACTATTGGTATGTGCCACCCTACTAACCACTATTGGTATGTGGCACTCTACTTTCTACCGAATGTATTGAGGTTTTCATGTTTTTCGGACTTTCGTAACGTTTCTTTAAAGTTCTAAACCCATGGTGCTACCAGTACCAACCATTAAGTTATTCTCCACTGCAACCTCCCTGATAATGGATATTACCTATTTTGTTAATTCCTCCCAGGCGGAACTAGTTTGCTGAATAACGAATGCTGCTGTATTGTGTCACTAATGGCCGTAATGCATGATATTGATTGTACATGATTTCTGTTGGCATCACGAACCATACAATTTTGAAAAATTTAGAAATGCTTGGAATCTAATTTTCCAGGGTATGGAAACATGTCGCCAAGAACCAGTGCCGGGAGACTCTTTACTGTGGTGTACTCCTCTGTTGGAATACCTCTTATGGCAATGTACCTAGCACTTTTCAGTAAAGGTTTGGTATTTTAATAAAACATTTATAATTGTTAGTCTTAACATTTTTTACCCAGGTCCAAATGAATTGAAAATGACGGCGAGGTGTACATATTTCAGGTATATAATCTTGATATTTTTGCAGGAATCTACCGCCTGTCAAGAGTGTTTATTCGATACTGTGTCAACTGTCTTAAGAGAATACAGGTAGGTCCTTATGAGTAACATGAATGTTGTAGCTTTTCAAGGTCGAAGAATATAATAATTATACTAATACGGACAGTGGGCATATTCAATTGATTCCGCTACGCTGTTTATGACATGTGCTAAATTTAGAGAGAAAAGACAGTTTCTTTCAGGATTCATGCCCAAAGAAATTTGGCGACATGGATGTCTGTTACTTTAACGATTTATGCCCAAAGCTGTTCACTATTTTAACGAAATAAGACTTGGCACCGCATGAAAATATTTATCAAGTTGAATTTAGAGTGATAAGTAGTACTTAGAAGTAAGTATATATCTATCATTTTGGAACAATCAACATTACTCCATGGGTTGGAACATTATTGCGTCGGTAAATACTAACAATATAACTCATAGTTATACATCTATGTCCTATACTGTTTATATTTCATCAAGCAAATGAAAATGATCATAAGGTTCTACGATTTTCCAATAAACTGAAGTTATAAGGATATATATATTCGGAGTTAATATTTCCGAACAGCCAGCTTCGCTGTGAGGAATGATTGCATATTTAAATACTGAACTACAAGCAGTATAAGTATAACTGGTAGAAAACAGTAAATATAACACACATAACCCCGGCATGCGCAGGGATTATATTTCAATTTTTCCCGCGACGCGCGGGAAAAATTTATAATGATTTCGAGTGCGAAGCACGAGGGATTATTATGAAAATAACCCCGACGTGCTTTAGCACGAGGGGTTATTTTAATATAACTTAAGCGTGCCGGTGTTATGTGTTATAAACCCCTCCGGGTTAGTGCTAGGACCAACAAATTTGACATTTTACTCTTAATTCTAGCTATATGAGATCATTATGGAAAATATGAAATGGAATTGGGGACTTCCAAATAAATACAACTAAGGTACTATGACTTTTGAAATTGGCGTTATATCTAAACATTATTCCTCAGTCAGAACGTTGAATGAATATGAATATCGATAAGGGGCGTCGAGTTAAGCCTGGCAAGCGATAAAAGCTAATAATGATATCGTGTCATGAAGTTCATCAAAGTAGGACGACTATAATACATGGCTTATATCAAACTCGACAAAATTAAGCGAACCGGACAAAATCAAATGTAACCGTCGAGACAAGTTTTGGAACTGGTCCAATTAATGTAAGAGTTTAAGTAATGTAGTGTGCTGGAGTTTTGCCAGCGCCTGCAATTAGACCGATACGTAGATCGAGTGTATTTATAGTTCTTACGTTAAGCCATAGGTCACGTGACATTTTTTACCAATGCGCGTCGTAGTAGTTAGTCACGTGATACACGTCATCAAAACACGTGACAGTACGCGGTTGAAATTCTCATGGAATATCAAAACAAAACAAATCTTGTTGAGCCAAATTAGCGGGGCGGGATTATAAAAGCTGTGCCGGGGTTATTTATTCAGCGGGAAAAAACTAACAGCGGGAGCCGGGATTATCAGAATCTATTTAGCGGGAGCCGGGATTATCAGAATCTTATTCTATCCCGGAGGGGTTTATAAACTAGTAAACTCAAGTTAGGGGTTGATACTTTTGAACAACCAGTGTCACTGAGAGGATTGGAGGAATATTATCGCATATTTAAATACAAACAGTATAACTAGTATCTTAGTATACTATCCGGATAGGAACATTTTTCATGATTCGCATCGTTGTGATGCTTCTGATGGAAATTTCTGATGATTCCGTGTATTGCGGCAAAGTTAAAATTCTCTTGTTTTTAGGCGAACGAAATTGGTCGACATTGCAATTTTTTTTTTTTATTTTTTTTAGAGAGGCTGGGCCTGGTTGGCCCACGAGAGGATAGCATATGAATGCTTTGCCTACCTCTGGGGTATGGCAGTCCTGTGGGAGGATGCCAGTGGAATCAAGATGTGTAATCAAGGATGATGGTAAGTGTTGTGGGGTGTGTCATGGATAAACGCTTAAGTGGTGGTTGAGTGTGGAAGAGAGAGGCGAAATAAGACGGCGTTAAAATAGTCGCTATGTTACACCTGTCTGGTCCAACTCCTCTGGCACCACTAAGCGTTTAGTGTGGTTTGTAAAGTTGACAATGGTGGAGATGTGTTGGTTGTCGAATATGTCATTGACAGAGAGGTAGTAGTCCCGGAAATATTGACCTCTTATTTGGGCAATAGCCGGGCACTGTCCGAGAAAGTGTGAGACAGTCTCCTCTTCGTCGCCGCATTTAGGACAAGCACTTGTGTCTGATTTGCGAATGGTGTGTAGGTGTTTGTTGAGGCCACAATGTCCCGTGATGAGGTGCACTCCAGTACTATAATTTTGTCTGTTGTTACTGAGTGTAGTGTTGAGATTTTTGATGATGTTGATGTTTTTATGTCCAAGTGTCAGTTTAGTGTGTCTGGGACCATCAGTAATCCATGATTCTTGATTAAGTTTTGTGACTTTGTCGTTGATCAGGCGTTTGATGTAAGATTGTGGAATTGGGCAATTCAAAGTGGATTCACTGGTTGTACCATTTTTGGCCAGCTCGTCTGCTTTTTCATTACCCCACAATCCAATGTGTGCAGCTATCCATCTGATCTCTAAGGTGTTAGTGGATCCGAGTGTATTGAGGGTGTCGTAACAGTCTCTAGTAGTCCTACTCCTCGTTGAAGGTGAGGATATGGCTTGAATAGAAGAGAGACTGTCTGACCATATGATGATATGTGTGTTTGTGTAAGTTGATAGATATTTACAAGCTTCGATGATGGCAGTGAGTTCTGTTTGATATACGGTGCAATAATCGGGAAGCTTGAATGATCTTTCATCTAGTGTAGTGTTGTTGTTGTCTGTGGTGATAATATAACCAGCCCCGCTACCTGAGTCTGTGCGTGACCCGTCTGTGTAGCAGGTGATGGTTTCACTGGGGATGTTGTCGATGGTGTTTTGGAGTGAGCCTCTATATCCAATGTTGTCAGCTCCAGGAGTGGTGACCGTGAAGCGTCGTTCAAGCATCATGGTTGGTATAGATAGGTCTCTCTCTGCTTTGAGTGGTATGTTGAGATCTACCATGAATTGTTTGTTGATAGTGGTGTGAGTTGTGATGGTACCTTTTCTGGGGGCGATAGTTTCATGAATAATAAGAATATAATGTCGTGACATTGCAATGTCACGACATTATATTCTTATTATTCTCCAATTATTTGTTATATAGTAGTGCTGAAAGTATCAAACAAATTTAATACTTTCGGCAACCACACAGTCAATCAACAATACAGTTTATCATTCAAACAGTCTATCTAACACTCTAACAGCAAGGAGAACCTCACTTAAAACTCTTTACTACAGCTGGAGGTAGCGTCTACTACGATCAGTATTTTATCCCTCCTTGTGTTAACCCTGCTGCTCGGGACTTACATAGGAGTTCTTAGCTACGTGGGTTTAACTTCTACTTTTACTAATTTTACATTTTCTGTTGATCATTTATTTGCTTCAATTCATTTTAGTTATATATTTCACTGGTTCGCCTGCTTCTATGTAAAGATATAAATTTAGCTGATGTTTTCTTTCAGCCATAATGTTTAATCTAGAAACATCCTGAATTTGTATTTGGCAACATATACCTATAATGCATTATAAATTTTCAAATTTTGCGCCACTTCCACATTTTGAGTATCTTAGCGTACTTTTAGGCATTTTAAAAGCGTACAAAAACATCATTTGTGATTTTTCAGATCATGACAGAAACCGACTCAACGGACAGCTTGGTCCAATGTTTTTACTTCTACACAATAACATTGAGCACAGTCGGGCTGGGGGACATGGCCATGACTGAGGCGCTTCCCTACGTCCTCATAAGAATATTACTCGTCTTCTGTGTGGGTAAGTTATTAGGTAATTGGATAATTGGATAATTAGTGGCTTATTATGTATCATGCTGACTGTGGTTTTGTCACAGCTGCTGCAGTATGAGTAAGTTTGTCACAAACTGGTAAGTTTACACTTTACATAATTTATATCAAATAATGATGTTTTGTCGTAATAATTCATCAATATTAATGCGCTGATAACAGATAATGCCTAATAATATAAATATCGAGGCTTGTGAAATCGCATAAATTGAGCTTGGTCATGTCTTCGGGATTGATGAAATTAAAAGGCCTCGTTAAAAGGTTTACTGGTATAACTATAAAGTTGCATTTATTGATACAGCAACAATAAACATCCCTATCCTTATATTATATCCACCAGCGTGCGCTTTTTCGCATAGCGGGCTCTCACCAGCTTATATTATAACCATGTCTTTAAAATATTCATTACAAAAACGTGTCTTTCAGACAGCTCGCTCTTGGCGCATTAAATGAAATAACAAATTTGACTAGATGTGATGATTGATTTTATGAGGTAAGGTATCAAATGAACATAGGTTATAACTACCTATAATCGTATAACCAGCTCCAAAATAAGAGATAGTACTTATTCCACAGGGCTAACGTTAGTAACTGCCGTCTTTAACGCTCTGAGACACTTGATAGCTTCCAAAAAACGGTAAGATTATTGACTATTTTATGTTTGATAACTTAGCTTCCTACTTAGTGAATAACTTAGTCAAATTATTAATTTGTTGACGCATGACACTGATTTAATGCTTAGTGAGCGCCCATTCTTTATGTTTTCGAACTGTCTTTTCAATAATAATATAATAATCAAAGAAACTATAACAATTTGACACCGAAAGAAACTATATACGAAAGAGTCATTCTCTGTTCTTAAACCTTAACCATGTCTAGCTCACAAAATAATTTAGTACCGGTTCATGTGAGGTATGTAAGGTATGTAGTTAGGTATGTAAGGTATGTAGTTAGGTATGTAGTTAGGTATGTAAGGTATGTAGTTAGGTATGTAAGGTATGTAGTTAGGTATGTCTAATTATAGTTGATTTTTTAACTCTACTCCACACAACATTTAAGTGAAACTGGCACTCCTTTTCTATCAAAACAATATTTGGAGGCTAAATTCTGACGTCTCTTCCTGGAACTATATCATTATTATGGTAGAGACTAGAGGCGGAAAAGTGAACCGTCAACCTTGCGTACGTGACACTCTCTTCTAATGTTACATGGGAGTGCCACGTTTCGCGCAGTGTTCATGTAATTTATATTGACACTGCAGAATCAAATCGTGAATAGAATTTGAATCGTGAAATAAAGTGAAGGTGGGAAACACTACCTGCCAATCCGTGACCCGGCGCCAACATTTTGTCATTTGACCGTCCAATCTGTCAGTGTTTTAATATCCCTGCATGTTCATGGCATGTGCATGGCAAGGGATAGAAAGTTAAGTCTTGAAATTAGAGTTCAGACCAGACTTTTGATCATGCATCAACTGTCATTTCACCTTCCGACAAACCATCGCTCAAATTAGATTACGCAAGGTTTTTGACTATACTCGTCAGCAGACAGCAGTTCTATAATAAGTTCTGATAATGTGCTTTGGTACTGCACAAGACAACGGTCTTGGGATAATTTTCCGACCAAAATTTGGATACTTGCTACATTTTAACCATGTAGGTTTGAAAAAAACCGTAACAACTTCCGATACATCAAAAATTGACTGAGTTATGAACTATGATTAAAAACGGTGCGACCAAATTTTGATAGATTACAGTCCATAAATTGGTAAAATACCAATATTTAAAATACCAAATTGATAAAATACCAATAATTAAATAAAAATCTACATATTCTCTGTGATTAACAGCTCAGATTTTTAAAGTGTTCAGGAGACTAGTTCAATTCCTTCTGGTAGCATCTTGAATGGATATTTACAGGCCTGCAACACCTAACACCTAACACCTAGCAACACCTAGCAACACCTAGTAGCAACACCTAACAACACCTAGTAGCAAAATACTAATCGTATTTCTCAGGGTGGTGAATAGGTCGAGGGTGAAAATGCAAGCAGCCTCATACTTCATCACCAAAGCAAATGCGAATAGAGTGAGACGAGCTAGCATGAGGTAATATGATTTTTTATTTACAAAATAGAATCCTATAAAGCTATAAGATAGATATAATTATCAAAAAGATATCTTTAATAATAATGAAAAGTCTGTCTGTTTGTTGTTCATTCGTTCGTTTGTTATTTCCAAACCACTTAATGAAGAAAACTCAAGTGTGAGTAGTCTCATAACTTTATAAATACTAGCAGGAACCCGTATAATATAACTCTAAACGGTTTCAAGACTCAACAGACCAAAATAATTATTACCTATTTAATTCGCGTTTTTGACACCACTTGGGGGTCCAAATTTTGGGCTCTAAAATCACTAATTCTTGGCCAATTTTTATTTTTTCATGCTGAATTGGAGGTTATTAAAGCATTTGACCCAGTCAAAAAAGTTTCAGTTGTATATCTTTTACGGTTTTTGCGGAAATTCGCTTTAAAGTTGATGCCGTGGTGTCAGTAAAATGGCACGGATAAATATATATATATCGTCTCGCTTTATATATAGTAAGATAAAGTGAAAGTAGAAAGTAGAAGTAGCGAAATTAAAATAGCTTTAAAATATTGGTATTCGTACAATCCGCACAGATTATGCTTTATACTTCATGTTTTGTTTATATGCATTACATTTTGATTAATGGCACCACCACTGTCCACTACCACATTATTTACCAAATATTATTAAGCTTAACCAATTCGGACACATAAAAGTGAAAAACACTCATTATAGTTTAAGGATACGTTCATTGAAGTTTGAGGATATTGGTAAACAAACAAAGATAGTGTTTTCAACGATAGTGGCCTAATTTTAGCATCTATTAATCTAGCATGTTCAGACGCTAAACGTTTTGACCAGCACTTATATTATTTCCCAGGTGGCTGAGAAGGGTATCAGAAAAAAGATCAGTCAGGGAGACAACAAAGGATCTTAAAAAGAGTTCAGATCCGAGAGAAATTAACGATAAAACGATTAGGGATGAACTTGGCACTGTTTTTCAAGAAGAACCTGATCCCGAAAACAGCCGTGAGTCACTTTTAACCTTATCTTTACTTATCAAGATAACACAAGGAAATTTTCCTCTTGGTTGGTAATATACTCAATGATGGAAGTGTAGTGTATTGGCTATGCCCCGCTTACTAGTTTAGCTCTTTCTAGTCCCCTGCTACACGGCATGTAAACAGGGATTGGCTAGTTAGAGGCGGTCCGTGTAGGCCTTACACTGTGCTTTCAGCAATACTCATAAGAGACAGTTTACATATATTTATAGCGTATGCCAGATTTTGATCCTTTGATAATGTGACATGTGTCCAGTGTCTATATGTGAAATATGGTACCGCGACAATTGACCCCCTATGTAATTACACTGGGGTCAATTGTCGCGAAATCTAGGGTTTAGTACGACAATTGACCCCCATGTAATTACACTGGGGTCAATTGATCGGGTTAAGGTCAGGGTCCTGGGTCCTGGGTCCTGGGTCCTGGGTCCTGGGTCCTGGGTCCTGGGTCCTGGGTCCTGGGTCCTGGGTCCTGGGTCCTGGGTCCTGGGTCCTGGGTCCTGGGTCCTGGGTCCTGGGTCCTGGGTCCTGGGTCCTGGGTCCTGGGTCCTGGGTCCTGGGTCCTGGGTCCTGGGTCCTGGGTCCTGGGTCCTGGGTCCTGGGTCCTGGGTCCTGGGTCCTGGGTCCTGGGTCCTGGGTCCTGGGTCCTGGGTCCTGGGTCCTGGGTCCTGGGTCCTGGGTCCTGGGTCCTGGGTCCTGGGTCCTGGGTCCTGGGTCCTGGGTCCTGGGTCCTGGGTCCTGGGTCCTGGGTCCTGGGTCCTGGGTCCTGGGTCCTGGGTCCTGGGTCCTGGGTCCTGGGTCCTGGGTCCTGGGTCCTGGGTCCTGGGTCCTGGGTCCTGGGTCCTGGGTCCTGGGTCCTGGGTCCTGGGTCCTGGGTCCTGGGTCCTGGGTCCTGGGTCCTGGGTCCTGGGTCCTGGGTCCTGGGTCCTGGGTCCTGGGTCCTGGGTTCTGGGTCCTGGGTCCTGGGTCCTGGGTCCTGGGTCCTGGGTCCTGGGTCCTGGGTCCTGGGTCAGGGTCAGGGTCAGGGTCAGGGTCAGGGTCAGGGTCAGGGTCAGGGTCAGGGTCAGGGTCAGGGTCAGGGTCAGGGTCAGGGTCAGGGTCAGGGTCAGGGTCAGGGTCAGGGTCAGGGTCAGGGTCAGGGTCAGGGTCAGGGTCAGGGTCAGGGTCAGGGTCAGGGTCAGGGTCAGGGTCAGGGTCAGGGTCAGGGTCAGGGTCAGGGTCAGGGTCAGGGTCAGGGTCAGGGTCAGGGTCAGGGTCAGGGTCAGGGTCAGGGTCAGGGTCAGGGTCAGGGTCAGGGTCAGGGTCAGGGTCAGGGTCAGGGTCAGGGTCAGGGTCAGGGTCAGGGTCAGGGTCAGGGTCAGGGTCAGGGTCAGGGTCAGGGTCAGGGTCAGGGTCAGGGTCAGGGTCAGGGTCAGGGTCAGGGTCAGGGTCAGGGTCAGGGTCAGGGTCAGGGTCAGGGTCAGGGTCAGGGTCAGGGTCAGGGTCAGGGTCAGGGTCAGGGTCAGGGTCAGGGTCAGGGTCAGGGTCAGGGTCAGGGTCAGGGTCAGGGTCAGGGTCAGGGTCAGGGTCAGGGTCAGGGTCAGGGTCAGGGTCAGGGTCAGGGTCAGGGTCAGGGTCAGGGTCAGGGTCAGGGTCAGGGTCAGGGTCAGGGTCAGGGTCAGGGTCAGGGTCAGGGTCAGGGTCAGGGTCAGGGTCAGGGTCAGGGTCAGGGTCAGGGTCAGGGTCAGGGTCAGGGTCAGGGTCAGGGTCAGGGTCAGGGTCAGGGTCAGGGTCAGGGTCAGGGTCAGGGTCAGGGTCAGGGTCAGGGTCAGGGTCAGGGTCAGGGTCAGGGTCAGGGTCAGGGTCAGGGTCAGGGTCAGGGTCAGGGTCAGGGTCAGGGTCAGGGTCAGGGTCAGGGTCAGGGTCAGGGTCAGGGTCAGGGTCAGGGTCAGGGTCAGGGTCAGGGTCAGGGTCAGGGTCAGGGTCAGGGTCAGGGTCAGGGTCAGGGTCAGGGTCAGGGTCAGGGTCAGGGTCAGGGTCAGGGTCAGGGTCAGGGTCAGGGTCAGGGTCAGGGTCAGGGTCAGGGTCAGGGTCAGGGTCAGGGTCAGGGTCGGGGTCAGGGTCAGGGTCAGGGTCCTGGGTCCTGGGTCCTGGGTCCTGGGTCCTGGGTCCTGGGTCCTGGGTCCTGGGTCCTGGGTCCTGGGTCCTGGGTCCTGGGTCCTGGGTCCTGGGTCCTGGGTCCTGGGTCCTGGGTCCTGGGTCCTGGGTCCTGGGTCCTGGGTCCTGGGTCCTGGGTCCTGGGTCCTGGGTCCTGGGTCCTGGGTCCTGGGTCCTGGGTCCTGGGTCCTGGGTCCTGGGTCCTGGGTCCTGGGTCCTGGGTCCTGGGTCCTGGGTCCTGGGTCCTGGGTCCTGGGTCCTGGGTCCTGGGTCCTGGGTCCAGGGTCAGGGTTAATTGTATTAAATTATATTGTCGGGGGGTCAATTGTCGCCCACCCGTGAAATATCCATTGTTTAAGTATCACAAACACAAACCGAGTGCTCATTGATCGTGCTGAATATTATGGGGAAATTGGCATTGAAACCTTGTTCATATACAATTAACACGTAAACAGGCACATCATTAACATTATATATTTCAGTTAGAATCTGTGACGATCTCTCTCAATCGATAGATATTGTGTCCGTGTAATGACAGCTCGGGAGTTTCTTGGAGTTTCTGCAAAAAAACATCAGTATTTCTGACGCTAAACACTTCCTCCCTTATGAAGTTGACCAATCCCTGAACGTGAAGCAAAGATAATTGATAAATTTGCTAAGCTTCATGGTGATCAAAGTAACTTCTTCTGTCTGAGAATTTAACTTTACAGGAATTCATGAATTAAGTGTCGAGTTTTTTGATAAAGCAAACAGCTTTTTCAGTATACATGAAGTGAAATGAAATGTATTGCTGTATGGACTATACATACATGTTACATGGCGAGATCTCCATCCAAAAGGATTAGTCTGCGTCATCTGCGTCATTACTTTGTATTATACAACTTCGGCGGGTAATATTTCTCCATCCTTTTCGATCTGCAGCCAATCTTCTCATACAATCAATCGTGAGTCCATTACGATCCAATCTCTGCTCAGCATCTTCAATAAATACATCATTTAAGCTCTTCCTAGGCCTGCCTCTTGATCGTTTCCCATGCTTGGGTTTCCATTCAAGTAGATAGTTAGGTAACCGATCTTCAGGCATTCTACTGACATGTCCAAACCAACGTAGCCGTTTTGTTGCTATTATGTCAGTAAGAGCAGTTATTGAAGCCCTTCTTAAAACATCTTCATTTCTTACTCGATGGAACCACCTCACTCTCAGGATTCTGCGTAAGCAGTACTGATGGAAAGACTCTAATTTTCTTGTCTGCACTTGAGTCGTGTTCCATATCTCACTTCCATATGGACTATGGGTGTTTTTTTTTCTTCTAGAAATTGAAAGTGCAAGTGTTTCAGAGAATTTCGAATTTCTGATACTTGATAAGTTGAAAATACTCTTAACAGCATTTTCTATGGGAATCAAGGGAATCGAGGGATTTGGCTGCTCATCTTTTAAGATTAACAAAAATGCTGATACGAAAAATAGCTCTTACTGTTATTATTCAGGTAAAACTGATGCTTATCTATAATACGATCACCGCATATCCACTGTCTAAGATTTAAAATTGAACAAATAGTTCTACAATGCTTATGATTATCTATCAATGGTGATTCTACAATTTACAAGCTCCACTGACAATACGATTTTCAGATTTTGGCTGTTGGCACCTGCATCAGCTGTGTGATAGCTTAATTTTATTGACACATAAAAATCATAATTTTCTGTTTTGCAGATTTCAACCTTCCTTTATAATCAGTTTATTTATTTACAAATTACAATTATACTGACATTACATCTCGTGAGTAAACTTACCTATTTATTTGCGTGGCTTTGGCACTATGTTAAAACAATACACCACAGTGCCATACACTTACAACTACAAGCCGACAAGCGTTACTGTAACTAATAAATTAATAAGTTATACAAAATAACTTGCACTAATTGTCCGCCTACAAGGTATCGGGTTTCATCCTCACAATTAACACTTGTTTCATACTACTACCACCCGGAATTTATAGTAAAAGTAAACCTATCACTTGTAAGGCACCTCAATTAACTGCAGCTATACAGTACATACCGGAATGGTTGACCCACCTTTTGGGTCCTTTTGAAATGTAATTGGATGAAAACTGGTCACATGATGTGATTTCTCGTATCTGATTGGTCAATACCTTCAACCCACGGGTCAACTATAAATAGTTTCCTATACTATAATTGTAATAACAACTGCAGTTACTTCCTACCAGGAAGCTAACAGAGTTGGGATTCCACCAGGGACACTATTTAGTTGCGACGGATAAGGAATATCATAATTTGTCGTTTTTCACAACTCTGAACCTCACTTCTTATGGCCGTGTGTCATGGTCACGCGTAAACTTAGCGCTACACAGACACTAATAACGTCACAAATATCTGGTTTAAATGTTGTTAATGAACCAACCAGCACTAATTTTTGCCTATTTTTTATACGGCCAGTTCAGAACTCGCAATTCTACTCCTGGTTTCTAGGTTTTTCAAGTTTCATCTTTTAGAATAGTTATTAATTGCTTCTAGTTATATAACCTCATGACAGTAGAGCAGACACTGAACAATCAGTGAAAGGTTCATTATAGCATACACCTTACCAGTTAAATTGTACGAGTTTATAAATTGTAAGGTCTCGCCCCCGTGACCTCACAACAACAGAATAACTGATATAAGACCATCCTCAGTCCTCGCACAAATGACTCCGAGTCCTGCAGATGTAAAACAGTTAAGGTCACTGTTAAATCATCACATCATGTGCTTTTGGGCATGTATAGGCTTGCCAGTTCCTCCTACTCCTCGTCAGCTCTATTACTCGAGTTCTCCGGGCTCACGAGAGTCACTACACGTCAGGCTTGGTATTCAGAAAATGTTGAGCTACGTCATTCATTGCCAACAACAGTTAACGTTCCAGTATTTAATATTGATTTTTAAGTTGGACAATTGTATCTATGTGTATGAATTGAGCAGCATTTTATGACCAAGAAACTTTCGGTTCGCTCTTCCTAGGTTCGCTGGGGTCGAAAGCAAAAACATTACCTAAACTTAATTACGCTATACTGCTCCTTGGTATCCCAAGAATGCGGCCTGGTTACCAAGGTAACCAAGTTGGTATCTTGAAAGTTCGGGGAGGGATCTTGGCAGGAGTCAGGAGAACCCACACAAACGTTACTTCTTTCCTCTGCCAGCATAACAGCACATGTTGTTTGGACTTGTGCCAGCATTTCAGCTGATGCCAACCCGCGTGACATGACATTTTGGTATGTGATGTTGAGTGATTCTAATTCTCTCGGCTAACCTCGTGCCGCAGCCAGCGGCCTGTATGTGATGTTAGGACTTTGTAATCCTGATTTTCTTTACCTCGTGATGTAGGAAGATTAATTAGGCTCGTTTAGGTTTACGTATAACTATATAATCGGTTAAATGCCCTTTTTTTGGTTTTAGGCCTGCGCTTATGTTCCGTTATAACATCTATATATACATCTATATATATGTACTTATATATAAGTACACCGAGTAGAGTTAGTAAATGGGAGAGGGGTAGGAGTGGTCGGAGAAATGTTGAGATCTCTTAATCAGAATAATCTCATAATATAGATAGCTAATTGGCTCATCAACCAATTAAGTACTTGTTACTTGTACAGTATTAACGTGTACCACTACCAGTTATTCACCATGGTTACGTTATTACGTATCAAATTAATTACATGATAAATCACGAGGCTACCTAATATACTGATACAAACAAGTCGCATGATTACGCACGTATGTACAAATACCTGTAACTACATGTAATGAATTATGTAACGAATCACGAGATGATATTTTAATAAATGTACTAATCACAAGACTATATTTTAATAAATGTACTAATAAATTTGTACACATAGTCTCAACAAAACAAAGTGACATAATAGTAAAGGAAGTGTGCTGCACAAATTACAAGTCATTATCTCATTAAACGCTTCATTACCTACCTTATTACCGCCCTATTGTCTAATTGAGAGAGCTTGTGTTAATAAGTTTATAATGAACTTACTTAACGTTTTAAGAAGCTTTATCTTAAACTTAGTAATGCAAACTGTTGACTTGTGTCCGGATATATTTCAAATCTCATTCGCCCTTCACAGTCAAGATTAATGTAAAGTCACCGTTATCGGTGTGATAAGCTATCACTATAAGTATAATAATTAGTATGGTTACTGAGTTCTACAATTACGTTTATTATTTCAACAATATAACCGTCTGTGGACGTTTAAAACTTAATGAATTTCCGCCTCGTGGTTTATGTGACACCACATGACAGGTGTTAATTTATTGTGATGTTAACGCCTGCATGCAGTACTGAAGGGTAACGTGTTGCAGTTCTGCTTTTATTTTTAAGTTTAACATTTCTTTAATTTGTTTCCAAAGTGAAATTCTAATCAATTTAGATTTTGAATCCAAAATTATTGCTTTATGGCTATCAACTAAATTTTAACAATCGAATGTACTAATTGTTTTACCATTTATCGAAAAGAGCTTCAGAACACAGTACTATTTTCCCGTTTTTTAAACTGTACATGTTTCTTCATATTGTAGCTATTTTATAAAAGAAGTTATAATAAATTGTGTCAATATCAGAATTACCTAGATATCTGTTCTGATATAAACCAGGTTGTTGCAGTAATGATATTAATAATAGTTTTATAGTGCGACATTTTCCGTATATTTCCATATTCCAGTCGTTTTCAAAGCTTCAAAAAGGCCATATCTTACTATATGTAAAGCGAGATGATATATAGATGTATACATATATATGGATCCGTGCCATTTTACTGACACCACGGCATCAACTTTAACGTGACTTTCCGCAAAAACCGTAAAAGATATACAACTGAAACTTTTTCGACTGGGTCAAATGCTTTTATGCTTTTCAAATCAGCATGAAAAAATAAAAACTTGGCCAAGGAATAGGAGTTTTAGAGCCCAAAATTTGGACCCCCAAGTGGTGTCAAAAACGCGAATTAAATAGGTAATAATTATTTTAGTCTTTTGAGTCTTGACACCATTTTAGGGTTATACGGGTTCCTGCTAGTTCATTATATTTCAAAACACCTTATCTTAATTCTGCATTCTGAATCTTTTGAACCCTGCTACAATCTAAAATTAAAATGATATTTAGAAATAACCACTAATCCCAGGAAGACTTCACGGAAAGATGTCGTATAACCCGTTTCTACAGTCCCGAGCTAGGTCCATGGTAACTGGTTACCATGGTACCACCATATCAGTAGAACCCAAGACCAAGGAAGGTCTTTACATTTGTAATAGTACGGACGCGTCTATAAGGATAACACAAAAGTGTGCTAAAGCAGGAATTGAAGCTTGTAATAATCTGAGGTGAGATTATCATGTTCCTTAGGCTAATTAACTATAAAATATAAGTATAATTTGTTTTGAATAATACTTGAAACATTTTTTACCGTCGATTTGGGTAACATCTAAAAGTCTATAAATGCCCTGCAAAATTTCAGATCTCTAACTCAGTTTTAACGTGGTTTTTAACTTTAAGGCATCTCAATATGGCGATTTTGGGTTTTTACCGAATTTCGTATAACACTAACAGTGCTGGCGCATCGTGTGCGCAAATTTCTTAAAAACCTCCACATAACTATTTTTATAATTCCTGTCATCTTTGACATTGACATTGAATTGTTTGGACTTAAAATATGACTGCTGAAATACTTTTGGCGAGTCTCAATGCAATGCCTGAACAACAGTTAAGGGGGTATAATAGAAATAGTATAGGTGGTAAATAGGATAGTGATACCAGAATGTACATAAGAGCCACGGTCAATGGTCATGCTTGCCACTGCCAGCAGTAGCACTGTGATTAATTTTTAACGTTAAACTTAAAAGCTTTAGATAAAATTGAATAAAAGTTATCATCGATCATTTATACCTGCTGGCATTGAGAAATCCTGGCAATCCTAATTAACAACGTATAACTATAAAAAATAATTTGTTAAGACTGAATACTGGTTTGAAAAGGTTATGACGCAATGACTCGTGTCACGCGACGCGCGTTACGCGTGGTTTGATCTGCAAACCTACGTTGGGCCGGCGAGCGTACTAAATCACTCTACAGTCGATCTTCGAGATTGTTCTAAAAGGGCCCCCGACAGTTGAAACCAACTTCAATCGATGTATTTTCGGACGCTGATTCCGAATCACCCCCCATGATATAGGGTTAAAATGCTCCCCTGACGAGATATAGGCGAAAAACTGTATCGATCACGTGATATGGCCGTATAAGGAAGTAATTCTAATTTCTCGTTAGGGTTAGGGTTTCAGCTTATGCTTTTGTTAAGGATTGGGTTAGGGTTAGGGTTGGGATCAAATAAGAGGGTTAGGGTTTCGAATAGTCGTTCAGGACCAGCTAGAGAACGGGTTGAAAAAGTCACGTGACAGTCGAGTGTAGAGTGATTAATTATCATCCTTGGGCCGGGGACTTGGTGCCGAACCTTTTATACAGTATAAAAGGAGTATAAATTATACTCTTTTACTAGTCAATTTTAGTGGCTAAATTTTGTTAGAAGTTTCACGAATTGCCATTTGTAATATTTCCAGTAATCGAAAAAGGTCAAAGGTGCTCGTCCTCGCTTTTATAGTCTTTGAGTCTTGACCTGCGTGGACGACAAGTCTGACTCTGATCACAATCTTTGATAAACTATTTACAACTACAAGCGTTTCTAGTTTAACGTGGACGGCCGACGGTAGACATTTTTGTTGATTCACGATGTCAATCCTTCGCAGCTCGGTGAGGCACAGTGGTGCATCTCGCCGATCTACCGAAGCATTATTTGATGCGAGAAGCATTATTTGATGCGCGCGCGACCCAGTAGTGCATCGCGCTACGAACATTTTTGCATTTGAGTTATTAAGTGCTCTCTTAACTTTGAAAGTAATTCAAGCTGGTACTAATAGTAATATCAATCATCAAAGAATGGGTCGGTAATATAATCGTGGCTTTTATATATTAACGAAATAATCTTTTTATATTTCTGTTCACTTGCGAGGAACAGGAGCAAAGGACCAGCCGGCCAGCTTTTGATCGCTCCACCATTTCCATGTTGACTGCTTGTCATTAGGGCTATATCGGTTTTTTCCTTTTATAACTGGGTTTATTTAAAAACATTCAATTCTGTATAATTATGTATTGTTTGAAAAGTATTAGATTTTAAAAAATTTAAAAAATTATCAATATTAACTCCCTTATTTCAGTGTGTACTTTAATGCACCGGTAATGACGGAGATGTGCGAAATTGTCAGCTCAGACAACGTTGACCTTTACATACGACGAGGTAACAGCTTCACTTCTATTTTATTTTTATAGCTGTCATATACATTGTCTTTCTAATTGCGCAAATATTCTCTGAAGCAGCAACATGTTGAGTTCGAAAAGATGGGAATTGGCATGACAATATAGTGGCAGTGCTTTTTGAAACCATCAAGAGAAGTACCATTTTACAGTTATTAGAGAATAGAGGCCTGGGATTGACCAGGTTGTTGAGGTTGTTAATTTCCAGAACAACTGTAGTAGTGAAAGTGAATATTATCGAAACTACAACTGCTTTTATCGGCACTTTTCCAAGGCGTGAGCTTGCAGCTGAACGGAGCAACATATAAAATTGCGAGTGGCCTCCTCCCGCGACCGGACTAGGGAGGCGCCAAAGGAGGATGGTGAAGATGACCTGGTCGGACTTCAGAGGCCTTCATGCAATGGCCGGGCCGGCGAATCTGGCGCGTCTCTGCACGAGTACCGATGCTATGCCTATAGGTGGGAAAATGTATAGGAGCCCAGATACTTGAAATCATCAGCCTGCTCTAGTTTAAGTTAATGCAAGCTTCCAGTTGGAGCCATGTTTGATGGTAATAAAGGTGTTCATGGCAAGTTCGACCTGTAATGCAGCATGTTCGAGATCGCTTAGCAGCTTTTGTACTCTATGATGTAGCTCTATGATGTCTGCAAAGAGCCAGCTCTCTACAGTGCCCTTTACCCCAGCTGGAATCCAAGTTGAATATCAGCTTTACAATATAGGCCCCCCTTTCATTGATATAACATTGCCTCTTCAGGTTTAAAGGTAAACTAATTCTATGATCGCAGGAGTAACGCTGAGAACAATTACAATCGACATGTGCTCCAACATAAATATCCACGTGCAGAACGCTGGCGAACAATTGTTCAAAATATACTATCACCAGGTAAGTTATTTCAAGTAAAATATTTTAATTTTGTTATTTCAAACTTCCTTACATATTTTACATATTTTACTTTCTTCTTGTCTGTGCAGTGTTGAACAGTTTAATAATATCTGATGAGATTGCGTAAAGGAGATACTGGAAGGTGGCTATCATCCCAACTGATATCAAATGTTCTCATGAAAATAGGTAGTTTTGTGGCATACATCATATTTGATTTTGTTGTGAAAATTGATTTAGAGATGAACTTTTGAGAGGTTCCGGACTCCAGGTGGCCACCGGTGCCCGCGGGACAGCCACGCCCATTTTTGGTCCCAATTATGCCCAATTATGCCAAATCACCTTGACATGCTCAAAACCCAGATTTTATATGCTCTTTCGTCTTTAATCTACTCGGACTCTTAATCTACACTAATTTCTATCGGTTGTTTCTATAAACCTATACTATAAATCCTAAAATATTAAACTACTCCCTGTAACCAGCTTACCACATTACACTAGTTGGGACGTCATTTTACAAATCAATTCTAATTTAAATAATTTTTTCCTCATTCCACAGTCCACACGTCGACGTTTATAAAAAGTGGCCTCTTACAAAAATGCGTCATTTTTTGTTTTATTATAATTTTCCTGAGCTACAATTCTTTATTTATAAATCGATTAAATAATGTACCAATCAAATCGACTCATACATAAGCTTAGGAGAAGTTTGCAAACATTCGCCAGAATGTATGTATTTAACAAATTGTGAATCTTTAAAAATTCACATCTTCACAAAAATCCGATTACGGGGTGGCCGTATTTAGGTTGACGTGGATTGCAATTGTTTATTTATTTTCATCAGTCACCACCACCACCATCATAACCCCCACCACCACCATCATAACCCCCACCACCACCATCATAACCCCCACCACCACCATCATAACCCCCACCACCACCATCAAAACCCCCACCACCACCATCATAACCCCCACCACCACCATAACCAGTCACCCACTTTAATAGTTTAAGGTATCAATATCTTGTTAACGTCATTACATTATACACCCTAACAATAACAGTCGTGAGTCTAACGGTCTACAATTTGAATGTGCACAGAGTGTGTATATTGTACTTCTCCCTCCTTCCCTCCCTCCCTCCCTCCCTCCCTCCCTCCCTCCCTCCCTCCCTCCCTCCCTCCCTCCCTCCCTCCCTCCCTCCCTCCCTCCGATGGGAGAGGAGGGAGGGAGCTCAGATCTATCTACTTCAACAGAACTCAGATCTATCTACTTCAATAGATCACTTTCTCATCAAAGTCAGGGCGACCCAACTACATATTTTATTATATTTTAAATTTCACACCCAATCCGGTTATGCCCTCCAAGATATCTGTCTCTCCGAGTCACCGATCTAAAACATGCTACACTTCTTAAATTTTTAAATTGGTATGTGAACTAAAACTCTACTGAGCTTTCCTGTGTCTCCAAAGAGAGAGCTTTTGAGGACGAAAATTTGCTTTTTAAACTCTTTAAGTATATTTTTATTATTTGTGTAATGACATAGCGCTAGTGGAGAGTTGAGCACATTAATCCGTGAAGTGAGTGACAACTTGAAACTACCTCAAGCCTTCACTGATTTGTGTATCATATTTTGTTCATTCATATTGTTAAGCAGCAGCTGCATGGTTGGTATATTGATATTTACTGTGCCGTAAAAATTAGTAATTGTTTTAATGAATAATTGTTTTATTAACCCAGTATAATTATCAGTCACGTGACACTAAGCTGGTAAAGCACGAGGGTGGCCCTGTACAGAGAATCAACCTGGATACCCTCCCAGTCAACAACGACAGACAGATAGTCCAGTTCGTCTGTAGGATTCACCAGGATGGACAGGTCAGCTTTCTTTCGTTGTCAACAATGATTACAATGATTACAATGATTACAATGATTACAATGATTACAATGATTACAATGATTACAATGATTACAATGATTACAATGATTACAATGATTACAATGATTACAATGATTACAATTTGATTACAATGATTACAATGATTACAATGATTACAATGATTACAATGATTACAATGATTACAATGATTACAATGATTACAATGATTACAATGATTACAATGATTACAATGATTACAATGATTACAATGATTGATGCCAATAATTACCATAGTTAGCATAACATGTGTTTCTTGGTTTTTGATCTGTTAATTAGTCAATCCGGTTAGGATATCCGGGATATTCGGCTTCAATATCCGGCTCCAGTTTCGGTCCTATTTTAAAGCTGCTTAGCCGGATATCATCAGGGAATTTCTAAAAATATCAGAGAATTTTTATATCCATTGATAATTTGATTTTGGAAATCGAGTAACATGCCTGGTTCTTATTTTTGGATGTCGGCCCTCGGGGTTGAGTGAGATATTTCAGGATCTGATGTCAGGTAATTAAAACACGTTCAAAATCATGAAAGAATCGTTTACGTGTTTTTCTAAAGAACAAGGAAGTATTTAAAAACATTCAAATTTCGCTACTGTAATCTTCAAGTTTAATTCTTCATGTTTTAGTGATCAGATAAATAGCAGGTATTCAGAACAAGTTGCAAGAACGAGACCAGGTTCTTGTCAAATTAAACAAATTTATTGGCTTTTCCGTTTTCGTGCAGCATTTTAAAACGAGGTTCAAAAGGAATAAATAGTTCCGGCATCCTAAAATTTCTTCTATTAAACACCCGGTTCTTTTTCGGCAAAATCCGGCTATCCGGAAAAGATATTGATATCCGGCCGTTTCCGGTCCGGCTGCCAAAATCCTAGACCGGTCGGTTCCTAAATCTGATACTCATGGATCGAGTACTATCAGTATCAACTTTGTTTTAAAGATTGTAATACTCGCATATTTAGTTTTTAATTTAATATAATCCGGACTTCCCTCTCAGATCCAGATAGACCGCGTAGTAAGGGAAGGTAAAGGTTACCCCACCACAGAGATAGAACTGGCTGAACACCAAGCGAACGAGGATGCCTTACTCCAGAGCTTCAGGTAAGAGTTCATCACGTTGTTACCATCCTTGTATATAATGTATAGTCTAGACGGGAATGTTATTGCAGTATTGCTACCTCTTTCATGAATAATTCATAAGTATAACTTATAAATTTACTTCCCCTGTACTGACAACCATGATGACTGGATTTTAACATGTTTAAGCTAAACTGGATTTTAAGCAAAACTTAATTTAGGATATTTATTATTTAAGTCCGCAGCTGTCTAGCCACTATATAACCAGTGGTGTGACTTCATGTCACTGGCTAGACTTATTGAAATCGAAGTTATAAGACTTGTCAATCTCGAACGTTCTGATTGAGATTTAACAGTAATCAGTAATGCCCCCCCCCCCCCCCCCCCCCCCCCCCCCCCATTAATGATTAGAATTAGATCCAGTTGCAGTCACAACATATGACAGAAAGGGTTGAAATTAATTGTATTTGTCAATACATGATACACGATGGTCAGCATCATCTTATCACCGCGCTCACCATTATAAGATTATAGACTACAATCCACGTAACACCAGCTTCTATGTTGTAAAACCACTGATCGTGTGGTGATTCCTATACACTGAACACAGTTTGAAAAGTAGTCACTATTTTCCAAGTTCATTAAAGCACAATGAATCATAATTTTGACTGTATAAATAAATAAACTTACCTACCTCCCCAGGGATCAGATTTACATTCTCTCTGGGTTAGACGACATAGCAAACAGTGACGGTTCCCCTGGTAACTCCCCTCCTATTTGATAATCACTGGTAACTACTGGTAACTACTGGTAACTACTGGTAACCACTGGTAACTACTGGTAACTACTGTTAGCTACTGGTTACCACTGGTAACCACTGGTAACTACTGGCAACCACTAGTAACCACTGGTAACTACTGGTAACTACTGGTAACCACTGGTAACTACTGGTAACTACTGGTTACCACTGGTAACTACTGGTTACCACTGGTAACTACCGGTAACTACTGGTAACTACTGGTAACTACGGGTAACTACTGGTTACCACTGGTAACTACCGGTAACTACTGGTCACTACTGGTAACTACTGGTAACTACTGGTAACTACTGGTAACTACCGGTTACTCCCGTCCTGCTTGATCACCTGGCTTCTGCCCATCACTCTAATGTCATACTGTCATATAGTTGACGACGTCATGATTGGTACATTCGACGTTTTGCTTGAGTGGTATGAACTATTGTAGAGCGAATGATACATAGTATAAAAGGTAAAATCTGGGCGATGTAAGTAATACTACTCTCGGTGTTGACCTGTTGTGTCCCTCTGGACCATATTTAAACATTAAAAGTAGCAACTAATGATCAAAGTGGAACGACACAGTAACTTACTAAGCAAGGCAACTCGCGTGAAGCGATAGATACAGACTTCATAAAATCGACTATTTTTAATGAAAAATGTATAACTATTAATTTACAAGTAGTGACGATATTACTAATTAGTTAATAACGTGGTTTGTCGTAGTGAAAGTTGTGCTAGTTGAGCTGTTTTAGAACTGAAGATACCCACGCTAATGACCGTTGTAGAAACTACTGTTTATTCCACTGTTCATAACATAACATTTTAACAGTGTGGAATGAGGAAATAAAATAAAAAATAAAATGTTATTTGGGAAATTAACTTAATAGTACAATAAAACAATTTTAACCACCAGAGGGTAATAGGGCATGAAGCTTTCAAGATTTGAAACGCTTGTTTTGTATTAAAATATTAACATAAAACATTACTTTGGATCAAAATATCATTATCTGTAAAAGATTATATATCTAATAAAGTAATAACGGGCCTCGGTGACCGTGCAATATTTATTTGATCGATGAGTTGCACAGTAGCTGATTCGGAGCGCAAGTCGGTAAATATAAGTTAAATATAGTAAATATAAGTTAAAATAGCCTACAATTATTTATTGCCCGAACCCACAAACCAACCAACCCTCTCTCGCAAACCAATCGACAGAAAATTATTTAGGAAGATATCTGCAACAGATTGAGTATCCGTCAACCCCAGTACCCATCAAACATATCTTTCTCAAGTGAGCCATGTGACCCAATATTAATATGAAAAATAATGAAATTTTGTACATTAACAGCACAAAAACTCGTGCTTATGCTCCGTAGCGGTAGAGTTGAGAGTATAATTGAATATTTTATAAAAATTAACTGATTATGCTATAATGCATTGTGGTCAATGCATTGTGGTCAATAATTTCCCCCGTACGAGGTCCAAGTTTTGTTAACCGTAGCTTTAATAAATCTCGAAATCTTTTAAGTTCCAATTTTACCAGTATAAGATCTAATAAAGATAAATAAAAATAAATTTTTTTTGCTGCAAGAGACAAGATATGTTGATACCTACTTCATTAATTCTCCCCTTATCCTGCACCGTTAAGAGATAGTTGAAGAAAGTACAGAAATTAGAAACTAAATCAAATTTATCATCTCTTTCATACACAGAGCGAGAAGGCTGTTATCTATAATTCAAATCGGCGAAAATGTTCTTGAATAAGCAATAAGCAATAAAATAAATATTATTTTGAATATAAGTATAACTGACTAAGCTGAGTGTCGAGTGAGTATTATTCACATTAAAACTAAGGTTATGTAAGTATTTCAGAATAGAATTGATAAATAATATTAGCCTTAAAACTATGATTAGCTGAATTTGAATATTTTCGTGATCAGTTGAACTATACAAATACCAGGGACAAAAAGAAATCGCGTCATGTACGGAATCGCGATTTTTCCCATTATTTGCGACAAATTTTATGTATAGTTTAATGTATAGTCTGTTAAAATCGCGGTATCGCGAATTTTGTCCCTGACAGATACTGTCTATCATGCACCAAGTTATTTATAGCGAACAGTCCAAATTAAAGCAATACAATAAAATCTTGTTGAGAAGGACAGTTTTGTATTACGGCTCGTTTTTTAAGCTTTGAAGTTCAATCTGAGATATGTTCAATGGTTCAATGTGAGTCCACATTTTTGATATGTCAGGATCGATGATAAGAATACATTTTGGCGTGTATTATCATTAAACTCTTGAACTTCATTATGCATGAATTTATTTAATTTAATTTGTTATGACACTTGACCAAATTCTCTGCTTTAACATTAAAATAAAAAAGGCAGCGCCTCGACCAAATAAAAGTAAAACTATTTTTCAGATTATTTGAATCAAATAATATAATTCCTGTAATTTAATTTCCTTATTACTTGACTCTTAAGGGTGGGGGGGGGGGCAATGGGTATTTTTTGGGAAACTTGATTTCGAGATAGCAGTTGACCAACAAACTGGGACTAGTGACCGGACTTTTGAGGGGCTCCCGGACCCCAACCGCCCATATTTGGTCCAAATTAGGCCCAATTTAGCAAAAATACCCTGAAAATGCCCGAAACCAAGGTTTTAGGTGCTCTACTTGTAGCTATAAGTGGTCCCCTGAACTCGTACATATAAAATTTCATCAAGATTGGACAAAAAGTGACTGAGTTATGAGCGAATATCGGGAAAGTTTTGTTATTATTATTATTAAGAAAAGCGTTCCAAGTATTTTATCCAGTTTTATACTCTCAAGTGTTATTGTGTTCAACACTAAAATCAACCTTAAATCAGTAATCAATAAAATGTAAACTAAAAGATTAAGTAAATATAACTACCTTACTCGGGATTATTACGACGGGTTTATTAACGACCGGTAAAAATATGGTTCGGGAAAAATATGGCGAAATTGCTCAAAACCCACCACATTTTCCCGGTCGCCATTTTACCGGTGTCCAACCTTTCAATTTTAGATTCAAAAATTTTGTCTCAGATGTAAATTTTCTTATTAGAGCTAAGCAAGTTTAGAAATTTTCGCATTGCTAAAACTTGAGAAACAAGTCGAATTATCAATAATTAAATGTTTACGTGTATCAAATAACCATTATGACTCAATTTGTAGAAAATCTTCGAAAGAATGCATCGTTCACATTGTTTAGAATTATGAATAAATGACTGATGAAACTGATTCATGTAATTGACAGTTTTAATTAATTCAAGTTTTAATTTAACTGTTACTTTTACTTTGAGTCCTATTTCATTATGTAGAGATAGTCAATACCTAAGAAATTAAAAATTGGCCTATTTAAATCAACTTTGACAATAAGGATATATGACAAGAATTGGGTAAAAAGGTGAATTTTTTGCAATTTTAGCCAAATGAAGTCGAAAAACCTACAACAAGTGTCCCAATAGTCTTCTTTAGTGAATATACGACAACGATTAAAATATGAGCACCCATACCCCTTGGGAAGCCTAAAAGCTGAGTCGGCGGGTTTATTAACGACCGGTGAAAATGTGGTTCGGGAAAAATATGGCGAAATTACCCTAAACCCGCCACTTTATCCCGGTCATAATAATCCCGAGTAAGGTATGTTAATGTATAAGGATTAGTGTTTCGAACTAAATTATTGAAGGAACCGATCTTCATAGTTTAATAATCAATATGCTCTTTCATGAGACCTCATTCATTTGATAAATAATAAGTACTGTTAAAATATTCATTCATATTGAATTTGTTTTTTTATTTGTCCAATAATCAAAACAAATTAATACCTGAAGTTCTCGCAATATGCAGTTTCGTGGGCCTCCGCCAAATAAGTAGATCTTCTCAGCATGATACTATGTCACATTATCACAGTGCTGGCAAGCACGACCTGCACGATCAGCGTTGTCTTTATTGGGGGTATACTATGTACCCCGTTTACTATTATACCCCCTTTGATACACACGTTGCAAGCCTCTTTCGTGCACGTGAAGCAGATTTATTTTTAGTTCAAAACATTCTATTTCAATGTTAAAGATGACAGGAATAAGTAATAGTTATGTGGATTGTGGAGGTTTTTAAGAAATTTGCGCAAAATATGCGCCATGAGCATGTTATACGAAATTAGGTTAAAAACCCAGCAAACAGATTGTCGTGAAGTACCTTATCGGACCTTATTTGGACGGACATTAATTGAACGCTGTAGGCCCTAACGTTCATCTTAATGTCCGTTCAAATAAAGTCCGTTCATCTTAATGTCCGTTCAAATAAAGTCCGTTCAGTTAAGGTCCGTTCAAGTGAAAGTCCATTGATTTTTTTAAAAATGTTTCCACTGCGAACCTTTATGTCTGTCGATCCAGAATATGACAACTATGATCATGAGAAATTTCTTGTGCCGTAAGTTTACAACGGAAAGGTTCATCTTGGTCTGCCGGAGGCACAGAAAACTCTACTAGTAGTATAGTATATGATGTTTTCAAGGTGTTATATACTCGTTTTAGCAGTTTTAGTACTAGACATGAAACAGTATTTTAGCGTAGTATTTTAGGGCTTTTATCAGTGTACGACATTTAGTACAGCAGGGTAGTGCAGAGAGTTTAGTTTAACACCTCTGTTTTGGCGAGTAGAGAGTTCATTTTAACATTTCTGTTTTGATTATCAGAGGGTGCATTCTCCCTTTGTCTCAAAAGTTTGACTTGAATGATCTTATTTTTTTCCACAAAGTTCTGAACAATTTAATTCCTGTATCGCTGCCTCACTATCTATCTCTATATCAGGGCACTTCTCGACTAAGACGTTGCCACCTCGACAGTCTGTCTATTGTGTCATCAATTTTACCTAAGTTAAGTCAGAATTCACACACCTTATGTACCTCAAATAGCCCACTGGCAAAATCATTTTTCTACAGAACTCATATACTGTGGAATGGACTCCCTTTACAGGTAAGACAGATTGTGTCTACTAGTCTTTTCAAAGCTGAGGTCACTAAGCATCTATGGAAATGTTTATTGGATAGTGAAACAACAGCCTAGCCTAGTCTCTTTGCTCCCCATATTATTATTATTTTTGTTTTATTAATTTTTTATCTACCTTCCTATACTTTCAACATCATATCACACTTCACCCGCACACCTTCTCACACATTAATGACCATATCAGACCTGTATCTAATGTATCTGGAATTTGACGTATTGAAATACCAATTTTGACTATATATCCACAGTTATACACCATAGATTTGTTTGTTATTAAATAGTTTTTCATAAATTTTTGGATTTAGATTAATTCGATGTAATGGGTCCAAGTTACTGCGGACATAGTTCACTATGTGTTTACCGTGTTTGGGTGCCCATCATATTTTACAGATGGGGGCGATATTTTGAACGATTCTATTTTATATTCATCTATTGCTGTACTCTGTAAAATTTGAAAAGTATTTAATAAAAAAAATTTTAACATCTTTGTTTTGGTTACAAGGAGGATAGTTTGGGAATTGTTAAGAGATTTCTAGAACGAGTGGGAGATTGTTTATACAGGGTGGGCTAAAAGTCAGTGGGCATACGTTGGCCTTAATAGCTTCTTCACTGATTGCCCAATTGAAATAATTCTTTCTGGTATTACTTACTACCACCACTGGCTCGAGGAATTTGTCAAATCAAAAAATATTCGAGTTCATTTTTTTTTCAAATGAAGGTTCATTTTTGCATTTATTTGACTGTTTGAATAATCGGATCGAACTAAATTTTATTGGATTGTGTTTGGTTATTCGAATTACGTTTGTCCTTTAAAAAATTAGAACTGTAGCTTCTCAGATGACCGAGATATGAAGCATAACGAGTTTATTCATTACGTGTGATCAGGTGATTGGTTTACCTAATCACTTGATTAGGTGAACCTGTTAACCACCCCGTTAAACATTATGGAAATTGTTAAGGGTGCCCAATGAAGGTGTCGTGTCACGGTGTCACAAAATCACCTAGTCAATTTTGCTAACGAAGTACAACTACACAAAATGCTTGATAACTTTAAACTTCGTCATTTCTAATCTGTTTTGCCTCATGTTTTCAGATCATATGCAACATTTAATACTCTACCTTGATTGACTATGTCAACCAATCGAGATCGTTGCGAAGCAAGAATGCTAGTTCGCGCGGCGCGTCGAAGCGGCGAAGTCCTTCAATACTCTACCGTCTCTGAAAAAATTAGGCCTTCGGCATGTTCAAAGAAAACAGTATAGGTGTTTTAATATCGTTTTAATATTGAATGGGCGTGGTCTAAAATATTCGAATTTGCAAATTTTGACGACGGAATCCTCGAACCAGTAAGTAGTAAAGTACAGTATGCCATCTGCAAAGCAACAGCTCTCAAATATAAAACATGGTCGGTGGAGCTATTAAGGCCAACGTATGCCTACTGACTTTTGGCCCACCCTGTACTATCTGGGGATATTTAAGACTAAGAGTGGGCCTGTTGGATGGCAGGACACACTTTTTGGTTTTAGTACAGTACTTTAGTAATCGCAAATCTGAATTTATGGGATATTAATATTATATTGAGGAGCTAGTCCCCGCCAAAATGACAAACTTGTTCCAGCCTCTAGATATTATTATTACGGTAAATCGTGTTGCCAAGGACATTGTCCGACGTTGTTATCAGGCACGTAGCCAGGATTTTTGTTTGAGCCTGGGGGGCCCTCGGCGGGCGAAGCGAGCCGACGCGTCCAACCCAGCTGCGGCAGGGCTAGTACTAGTAGTAGGTAGTGCGCCATCGACAGTGAGCCGCGCGTGCCGACTGTAGGATGGTTTTTTAGCGCTAATTTCGGCCAGCACAATTTTTTCAAACAAATAGATATTACGTATCCTTCCCGACCTCCGATTGCAACAAAAATTGGTAAGCTTACTCATAGATTTACAAGGAAAGTGTCCGAAAAGTTTAAAGCATATCCAACGTAACCATCAGACATTATGTTACAGCTAAAAGCAGCGTATTTTGCCCCATTTTTATCACTATATCAACTCCGATATCCACTAAATTTTTCGGACAGTTGTGAAAGCCCTATTGGAAGGTCGTCGCCAATTTTCAGAATGATCTCATGCAAGGAACTGAAGATATATCCAAATAATACGACAAAAATCAACGAATTTGGTCAAATTTGGTCAAATTACGCGACTTTTACAGCTAATTTTGCTCCAAAAGCCGCGCATCATCAAATATGGCACCTAGGCGAAACTCACTGATATTTCCAAAAAGGTATAACAAATTTGGTATTGTGAAAATTCTCACAGTCTCTAGAAAACAATGGTACAAAAATTTTTTAAATCCGAGCAAGTTTATTTTTATGGTGCACCCCCTACTAGTAGTAGTAGTGAAATTAAAAAAAAAAAACAAAAAATGAAAAAAATTTGGATTTTCGATGGTTTTGAATGCCATGTGCCTTCTAGTATAGTGTTCATAATATTACAA